AATAATAATAATAATGATAATGATAATGATAATAGTAATAATAATGATAATAATGATAATAATAATAATGATAATAATAATAATAATAATAAAAACAGAAATAAAAATAAAATACTCAATAAGCTAAACAAAGAATTCTCAAAGAACATCGTTCCCGAACAACGGCGCTAGAAATACTTGTTGAATTATTGGCAAGCGTACCAAAATTATCAATCATAGTATAGTATTTTGATAAAATAAAAATCGATCCCACGAGGAACAGTTTCAATGAAAATTCTCAATTATGCTTACTAAGTATATTAAACAGATTGGGTTTTGCAAATAAGAGTTGAGTTGAATTTAAATGACAAAAAACTGTAAATTGTTGAGAAAATATCAATTAAAGGTACTTAGGATTTACTTCCTTCCTTATCCCTCTTTTGTAATGGTTAAATCAATTAAGAACGTCAATTAACCTAACAATGTTGATGTCACCTACTCAAATCATCTATGTTGATTCCTCACACATGAAATTCATAAGAAAACCTAATAAATGTTGATTCCTCACACAATTAAGAGATTTTTCAGCATTAGGATTAGGGTGTTTAAGCACTTGATACATTCATTCCATTCTTGGCAATTAACGTAACAAATATTCCTACCGTGATCTAGGGTTCAAGATATATTTTCCAATCATACCTCAAACAATCAAGAATAAATTATTCCAAAGCATAAAGGATAAGAATAACAACATCAAAACATAGATTAATATCTCAAAATATTACCATGATACAAAAGAGCTCAAAGGAAGTGCACCGAATCCTAAGAGAATGAAGTTAGTCACTCATGTTGGCCATTACAATGCTCCAATTGATGAAGAAGTGAAGAATTTATGAAGATTAGGCAAAACCCTAACAGTAGTTGTGCCTCCTCTTTTACAAGACTGCTTCCTTTTCTCAAAACATAACTTATCTTTTTATTAGTGAATTTGGGTCGGGCCTCGCATCATTCATTCGCTTAAGCGTTCTTCTTTCTTTCAATTTTACTCCAATTATGCTGACAATTATGCTCCTTACTCTTGTATCAAGGTATTCTCGAATTCATCCTATATTGGGAGAAAAATATATTAGAATTAATATAAGTTAATTGGTTTCATAACAATTCAATGCATAATTATATCAACTTTTTACCACTTAACAGAGGGGTACTCCAGTATGAGTGATGAAGGGCGCCAGTAATCATACTCTGTGTGGAAGGTGGTCAGAATGGTAATGCGGGTGTCGATCATAATGTGCCCACAGATGATAGTCTCTGAGTTTAGGCATAGTTAGGGTAGACTTTCAGAAGACGTCTTAGTGTATTAATAATTTGTAATTGATGATAATATATAATTATTACTCCTATATCTGTTTTATTACTTACCCCTATTTTTTCATATGGATGGGACTGCGATGATCACTTTTATGTGGGAGCAGATCAGGAGTTGAGAGGTGGAGATGCGACTACCTGGACAACAGGGATAGTTCGGTGGGGTAGCTTTATGGGAGCTACTTTTGCATGTATTTATATAAATAAATTATGTTACTATGTTCGAGGTTCCGCCAATGAACCGGGATTTCAGTCTATATTACAATTATAATAATATAATATAATATAATATATATGTTATTATTTACTTGTTTGCTATTTTCTAAAGGTATCATTATAATAGTGATTTTTAGAGTAGTTACAAGAGTTCCCTTAATTCCCTAATATTAAAGGTTCTCTCAACCCCTCTGATTGTCCATTTTCCCCAATCCCTCGGGGGTTTCCAATCTTTCCAAATCCCTAATCTATTTGGAGGCTTTCCCGAATTGCCTTAAATTTCTTCTTCGTATTCGTACCCCAAATCTATGTTTATAATCTAACCTCCAGAGCACTGTGAATCTTGCAAAAGGGTGATAACAAGAAATGACATAGAAATTACATGATTTTGAGGTATGCTGCTCGTCTGTATATTTTGTCTCGGCTTCGGCTTTTTTGTAATTGGCATTGTGTTTTTGAGCTTTGTCCCATGTTTATGGTTGATTATTGTATATAGTGTACGTTTTGTTTGCTCGATCAGTCCTCAGGTGCATTTTTTATTTTGAGCATGTATTAGGTTGTTCATGTGTTTTGTTGGTTCAGTTTGTTATTTATATAGTTGAGGTTCAGAATGATAGTTAATCGGTAAAGTCAAATTGTTTGTTCAATTTGATATTATGTGTCTAAGTTTGTGTTTTTCACCCTGAATGGTCAACTTTGACTCCCAAAAAAGGGAGCAGAATAACTGTCATCCAAATTATAAATCAAACTATACCCAAGGGTTAATTAGAGGGCAAACATGGGTTTTCAATTTGCTATTGTCATAGAGATTGTGATGACTTATGCTACTTTATGTGCAATAACATGTTCTGATGTAATAGGCTTCAATGTTCCTTTTTTTTTTTTTCTTCAGATTTTGACACAGTAGGCTAGGTTCCAAATAGTTTCTCAGTTTGTTGCATATTTTGTCACAATAAGGTATTGACAAGTACTTATGCTACTTCCATTGTTGTATACTTTGAACATACTGTGATTGTTTTTTATCATGTATTGTTGCACATTAAATACTTCAACACTATATATCACTGTTTAGTCATAGATACAAAAAGAGTAGCCTTTTCATAACAAATCCACTAAGATATGAAACTCCAGTAATGTAGAGATAACCTTTGGCTTCCATTGTCTTTATATGTTTTGTAGACTTAGATTAAATATCTTCCACTAACCCCTTCAAGGATATATATTCTGTTCAGTAAAAGCATAGTTATATATGGTTTAGTTCCACTTTCTTCAACTGTTTAATTTGATTTTGCTGCTAACATGGTTTAGTTCCACTTCTTGGATGGTCCCATGGACATGCTATCCTTTGTGTTCTTTAATAGATTTTTTTCCCGCTCATATATACCATGTGACTTGCGAATTTTGGAACATAATTTAATACATTTTTTTTATAATGAAGACTAAGTAATGTGTTTTCATGTATCTAATCATTATCCTGCATACCAGCATACTTAGTGACCTTCGTTGTAGCCTTTAATGACAGATACAAAAATACACCCAATATTGGTATAAACAAAAGTTGGAAAATCAAGATTTAGTCAATTGAAAATTTTATTTGACTTAAATTGGTTATGAATTGAAAATGATCATATTGTCTAATTTAGAATCTCTGCATTATCTAAAAATTTAGTATTTTAGTTAATTTTTATATTTAATTCTTCTAAAAAGCAACTAAAGTACCAATTTGGATAATTTTAATCTTTGTTGATGTAGTCGTTCAATATATATCTCCTAATATACAATCTCTTATTTAACATTGTCAACTCAACCAAGCAGATAATAAAAATCAACCTCAACAACAAGAAGATAATTAAGAACAATAAGACAACCCACCACAACAAAACAACAAATCATAAAACACATTCTCTCAATTATTCTCACCATAAAATATTTACACAAACATTAGTAGAACAATAATTGACTTTTAGTTATATCTTTAGTATCTTTCTAGGAACTGTATAATTGTTACTATTGAGACTATTGTATTTATTAATTACTACATTTAGATATTATGTTGGTTTGTGGATAATTTTTTAGTTGTGATTAATTTTTGTTAAATTTTCATGAATTGTTAAATAAATTGTTGAATTGAACTGCTGAATTGGACTTTGGACTTGGAGATATAATTTTATGCAAGTTACAGGTTATATAGGAATGGGACAGAAGGTAATAGCTATTGATAATAAACTTTAAATTATCAATGTATATTATGAATAATTAATGACGGATATTCTTTCGTAATTATCAATGGACATATATTTTGATAATTAACGACGGATTACTTTGAAAACATAAAACATATCATATTTTACTGAGAAATATATACGTCCGTAAATTATCCCGAAATAGAACCATTGATACCATGGTTTATTTTGACTAATATATCGACGAATCTCTAAAATTCGCCAATAAATTTACCAACAACCAAATTATCAATAAATTTTAGTTTATTACATCGATAATATTAATTTACGAACGAATTTTAATGATTATTGATGAATTCTATTCCATAAAAAAATTCTTGTTTTTCTTATGATAATGTGTATCATTTGTATATGTTAGGATGATAACAATATCCCATCAAATCATATTTTTGACACGGTACACTATTAAATATAATAATAAAATATTATACTGAGTCAGATTAAAATCAATTAAAATTGAAATTAATAGCTATTCAAAATTAAAAAATATATTTATAATAAAAATATTTAACTATAATAAATAAAATGATTTTATTATTCTCATAAAAAATTTAATAAATATGATTTTAATAAGTGATAGTTTGAAAGATAAAGAAGTCTATTGAATTTTTCACTATCCAAACAAGTTCGTTAAATTTTTTTATGGATTAAATATTATTTTTTAATTTTTCTTAAATTTAATTTAAATTTTTATATTTTAAAAATTATTTGATTAATTTTTAATTTAATATAAATTATTATTAAATATAAATATAGAAAAAAATAAAATCACATATTGTTTTAATTTAATTTTTGTATAAACTTTAGTGAACAATTATTATTAAATAAGTATAAATAAGGACTAAGTTATATATTTGTACATATGGAAAGACTAATTGTCAATTAAGTACAATAATTAAAGATAAGTTTTAAAAAAATTATAATGATTAAAAAAATATTTTTCCATATTTTTATTCATTATAAACTTATCTTTGATAAATTAATTTTCGGAAATATCTTAAAAAATGTTTCCAAAAAAATTCAAACAAGCCCTAAATTATGTAATTTTAAAAATACTAATAATGATTAACAAATTCTACAATTGTCTTAAAGTTGTTTTAAAAATATTTTACAACAAGTTGGTTTTTTTTTTTCTTCATAAAACTACTAATAGTGATTAAGAAAATCTACAATTGTCTTAAACCTTCACCATACGTTTGGACACAGGATGGGCTACAGATGTTACGTACCTTTGAGTGCAGAACATGTTCAAGGGATCATTAACTCGTGGGACCAAAGCTTACTTTCTCAGATATTTTAATTATTTTCATAATTTGTGTATGAATCTCGAATGGTTCAGACGAATGATGTATAAAATAATGAGAAAGAAGAAAAAATAACAAAGCAAACAGCCTCTTTCGCTACGAGTCTTCCTATTAAGGTAGATTATATACACTCGATTTCCTTAATTTATCGAATAGAGTTTTGATGATAATATTTCGATCATAAAAATTGATTTTACAATATTATTATATCATATACGATAAACACTAACACAATCTTATATTATTTTAATTTCCATGAACATCTTTAATTAATTTGGTGATGACAGGTCAAGGATGAAGTTTATGTAGTATGCTAGAATGAGAAGTATGTCTGATATGAAAGGCAACCAAATTAAAACCGTGCATGGCTATTTGTAAAGTTCCAAAACAATGAACCTACCCAAAGCCAAAGTTAAAAAGGAGAAGTTTCTGATAGTGAACACGTAATAGTTGAGAATTCACACCATACACGAATTGGAATTGGACGATTGGTGGTTCTGTTAACGCAGTTCCAAACCAATGATAGAAAAGTGGTGTCAGAGTTTTGATTGAGCCCTGATCAAATACGACTTACATGTGTGTATTATCTTTTGCTGGTGCAGAGAAAATGCGTACTGTTGCATGTGGGAGGACAACAGAAGCACATGGCGATGTGTCATTATGTCAATTCCGTGCAATCGTTTTCTGACCAAAAGGGTTACCCAATCCATCTTTTCTTCTTTTTATTTTGGAACTAAACAACCACAAATCACAGAGGCCAGAACGAAGTAAAACTTCACTCCCCCACCTAATTTTCATCATGCATCCTTTGTTTTATTTCTTGGCTTTCCAATTTCATAACTTGATCACCTTACACCAATTGCGTTTGGACTCATTATATATAATGATGAAATGATTATTTCATAACTTGTCTGGTTTTTAAATACTGGTTAAGGATACTTATAACTAAAATATTACATAGGTGACAGTTTAATCTCTAAATAGTAAAATATCTTATTTAATCTTTAATTATGTAGACAAAAATGCAAATAAGTTCATAAATTTTGTAATTTAATATTAAAAAAAAAAAACTTAATGTTAATCCTTAAACATGTTTGGTTGATAGAGTGTGTTGCTGCGGCTTGTTGGTGTCGCGGTTTATGAGCATTGGTCTATCGAGTGCTAACGTGCAGCTTTTTTTCATTCTTCTCTCTGGAAAACCTCTTATTTGAAAGGAAAATATATATTGGTCCAACCAAATAATGCTGTATGGCATATGCCACACACATGCACCACAATTTCAATCATTTTATGAGAGAATCACAGCAAAGTTATTCTTCTTCACATGCTCATAATACACCCTTTTTTGGCCCTTTAAAAAAAAAAATTAAAACTAGTTTATCTAAAGTAAAATTATAAAGTTTTAAAAAAGTATATTAACAAATCTTTATAAGTTAGTTTATGTATAAATTAATTTTGATTTATGAAGCAAATTTAAAATTTTCCTTTTATTTTTATTTTTATTTTCTAAATATATTTTATTAAAATTTGTCGATATAAATCCTAATATAAATACATGATCTAACTTATTTTAAATTAAATTAAACCTTTTCAAAAATAAATATTTATAATTATTATTATTATAAAATCTGATAAAATATGTTAAAATTTAAATGTTAAGCATGTTAATTTATGTAATTAATCCAACTGAAGTTTATAAGTTTATTGAAAGATAATTAAATATCATATCATATTATATATATATATATATATATATATATATATATATATATATATAACGTTAAACTTTATTTTTTTAAATATAATTATATTTATTTTAATGATAAATTATCATAAAATAAATCCTTGAACAAGTGTTTAAGTCAAATTAGAGTTTTAAAATAAATAAATAAAAAACTAACTTTTTAAAAGATGTTTTGAAAAGAAAATAAATCAACTTCAAACTACTCGTTGAATTAATATTAGACTTGTAAATACGTAATTTAATTTAATTTAATGTAAGTCTAACAATAGAGATTATTCAGTAGAATAAAATTTGATATTTTATTAATTAAGTTAAAAAATTATTATAAATAAAATTCTTAAATACTCAAACTTTATTTATATAAAATTAGTATTTTTATTTTTTATGAAATTCTCATTTTATCTCTTTTTCTTTTCTAAATTCAAATACGTTCTAGTACTCTAGAGTGAGATAAAACAATTTTATTTGATTAGAATAATAGGTTAAGTTTTTCTTTACCTATTTTTAGAGCATTTTTCTTCTAGAGTAAGAACGCTTGAATGTAAGATTCAAGGTTTTGTGCGTGAGGTTTGTCGGACAAACAGAAATATTAACTAAAACAGAAATATTAACTAGTATAAAAATATTTCTCTAAATATTATTTGACTTCGTATGAAATTAGGAGATTATAGAGATTTTAGAGATTTTAACTTGGAGACAATGAAATAAACAAAAGGGAAATTTGATTTTAATTCTTTATTGTTATAGGGTATGATATAGACCATGAGTGTGATATGGTCAAAATGTTTGCTTAAAAGGCGTGAAATGGAGGAGTGTATTTTGGATGATTTAGAAATTTTGTAGAAACCTATATGTTTCAATGAAATGTGAACATTGTGTCAGAGCTTTTAATGTCTTAAATTAACTAATACATGTACCTTTTTATTAGAGAAAAATAGTTAGGACAATCCAATTATAACATATTATGGGTGAAAATAGAATAAGCTCTCGGTATAGTTGGTTTTTTAAGGTAGACAAATCAATTTGTGGATACTGTTTTACAGTATTTTGAGGATCCTAAACAAGTCACGTAGAAAAAACCCTTGGGGTTATTTAGCTAACCCTATTGCGGATAGAAACTACCAACAAGCTGTAGATACCTTGGTAGTAGAACACAGAGAATTACTTCTCTAGAGATTGTCCTAACATTACAAACCTTTACACTAAAGAGGCAGAATTGATAAAATCAATTTTGATTCTTGTTTGAATTTTTTGCAAAATTTTAATATCTACATTTTTCGTTGTGAATTTTGCAATAGAGACAAAGAACTCCTCAATGAAGTGTTTTTGCTCAAGTAACAAGATTTTCAAAGGTTTCTTCAACCTAAATTTCGCTCATGTGAGGGATTCGTAATAGGGTGAGAGACCTTGTGATAATATTGCTCTAGCAAAATACTCGTCACTAAAATGAGAAGATGACTTGCTCAAATAAGGTGATATATTGCTCAAGTGATAGTGATTTTGTTTAAAAGAAATCACTACAAAAAAAGATGAGGATTATGGAAGGGATCTGGTTTAAGGGATAATAGTTCCTAGTTTCGTTCAAGCAAGATTGTGTGTGTGTGTATGGTGGAATGAAATGTGAATGCATAAGTTGTAGTATGGTGAATTCCAAGGAAATATTCCTATATGGGTATGGTGTGTAGACATTAAATTAAGAATTCAATAGAAAACATTCTAACTTTATTGATTATTAAAAAATTTTGTATGACTTGGTTTGTTGTATAAACAAGAATTTAGTTTGGTTAGCCATATGAATTTATCTTGTCATATGTGAGCTTGTGTGTCAAATTCAATTCTTGATATAACATGAGCAAACATCCTAATTTCAATTAAATATCTAGTATTTAGAAAGTCATGAAGTGTTAGTAATTATTTGATAATTAATCTCTATTGCTAATGTATATATATACATACACACTTAGTATGACGATGTGAATTTATAATAAATAATATGAATGATAAAACAAGTTACACCCGATAGACCGACCACTACTAGAAAAATGTCAAATAGTAACCGAAATCAGTGACCGAAAAATTTAGTTACTATCAGTGACCGAATTAGTAACCAAATTATTATTTTTTAGTCTAGTAACTGAAATAGTAACCGAATTTTCGGTCACATAAAATCGGTTACTATTTCAGTCACTTTATTATTTAATTTATTTTTTTAATTAATCTATATTTAATTTATGTAATTATTAATTTTTTTATATTTAGTAACTAATTTAGTGACTAAAATTTCAATCACTAAAAAAATAATTTTTACACTTGATAACTATTTTTCATTTATATAAATATTTTATTTAAAATATTTTAAATATAAATTTACTTAATAATTTAAAATAATTGATAACATTTTTAATAACATTATAAATATTTTAAAAAAATTGTTTACTAACTTATTAAATAATTTAGTAATATAATTATTTGATTTTATTTTTTTATTTAGCATGTGAATAAAAAAATTAAAATTGATTATTAAATTAGTCACTGAATCAGTCACTAATTCGGTCATCGATTCGGTCATCGAATCGGTCACTGATTCGGTCACTGATTAGGTCACCGAATCGGTCACTGATTCGGTCACTGAATCGATCACTGATTCGATCATCGAATCAGTCACTAAATCAATAATTAAATTAATTATTAATTTAGTCTCTTTATATATATATATATATATATATATATATATATATTACTTGTATGTTAATAAAAATGTATTTCAATGTATTTATAAAAAAATTAAAATTATTTTAATTACTGAATTGATATTTTAAATTTATATTAATATCTTGAATAATTTAATAGTTGGATATATATATATATATATATATATATATGCAAAAAAAAAATATATATATATATATAAATTTATTTATTTTTTAAAGATGATATATTCAATGTATGTTAAAAAGTTCAAGCCAAACTGTTTTTATAGAAGATTTTCAAAACTAGCTGGTTTAATTAATCTGTTAAAAGATTCTTTTAATATGTTAAAAGTGCAGCTTTAATCGTTAAAACTTCTTTTAATCCACTAATACGTTCTTGATTCTTTAACAGATTTGTTTTAACCGATACTGACAATGTTTATATCAATTAAAACACTTTACAAAAAATCTTCTAAGTTGATTTAATCGATTGTTTCGCGATTCAATCGATTGAAATACTGCAAAACTTTCTCCTAAAACTTTTCAAGTTATTTTAACTGATAAAAATAAGTTTTAATCGATTAAAACGCATGTGTAGAATCTGCTTTAATCGATTAAAACGAGATTTAATCGATTAAAATAGTTATGATCGGTCATAAATGCATTCTGACCGATCATAATTGAAACCATATAATAGCGGTTCAAGGGTTAACCGCTATCTAAGTCATATTTTAAGAGCGGCTCTCGTGTAACCGCTATCTAAACGTCATCTCGCTTGAGCGACAACATTCTCGCTCGAGCGAAACGCCCCTGCACAAAATTAGTACTCTCAGGTTGTATTTCGCTTGAGCGAGTCTATCTCGCTCGAGCGATAGTTGATTCTGATCGATTATATTTTCGAAATGATCGATCATATTTGATAATTTTTTCAAATAATTAATTATAATCGATTAGTTTTCTAAATTATTGATTAGAATTGATTAGTTTTTCAAATAATAGATTAGAATTGATTAATTTCTGAAATATATACTAAAAAAATATAATTAAAACTATAAATTAGTTAAGAATATTGACTATTGTAAAGATAAAGTAGAAACATGGGAGGAGATGAGGATGATAATATAATGATAGAACTTACAAAAATGTAGAATTGAGAAGTTTGAAACAAATAAAAATAAGAAAATAGATATTTAATTACACTTTTAATAAATTTAAGATAATACTAGTTTTGATTTTTATTTTTAAATATTTAAAACAGAGAAACTATAATTTTAGT